AACACCTAAAGCAGCTCTTGAGCTTGTCCAGGCTTCAGTTGTGTTTGGGTGGGCATAGGTACAGGTTAGTGTGCCCATGGGAATATGCACTGTGATGGTGTCAGGGCAGGAGCATGGTTAGACAAGGAGTGGTGGGCCCACCTGCTAATCAAAGTGTAGTCCACAGACCAGTAGTATGTGTGCTTGATGGAAAAACAGATGTTGGCCTCAACTGCAGATCCACTGAATTGGAATCTGCATGCTAACTAAGTTCTCACATGTTTTGTAGGCACTTGAAAGCTTGAGAAAAAAACATCTCTAGATGATCACTGATGTACTTTTTTGCTAAATGATGGTGGATCCAAGCTCATAAGGCTAAACTACTTTAAAAGTTTTTGTATGTTTGCCTCTCTGTTGGTCACAGCTGGTGATCCCAGAGTATATGAGCTTCCACGGGCTGTGGGTTTGAAGAGACAGATCCCAGGAGGGATGGCAGGGGTAAGGGAGTTGTACTTTGCAAATCACCTATATCCAGGGAACTGAGATGCATCCATTTATCCATTTGTTCAAGAGCTTGGGTCCTAAGCACCTATCATGTGCTGGGCCTAGTGCTTAGTGCTGAGAAAATGCTCCCAGTTCAGTGGAGGAGACAGATGCATCAACAGTAAGAATCTAGAGTGGGGCATGAGGAAGAGTGGGAATTATATACACTGGGGGTTGTGGGGGCTTTGCAGGGGGGATGAATTTGTCCTGAGTGGTGTGGGCATGTGCAGAGGGGACATGTGGGGGTGGTGCCTATATTGTGTTGTCCTGCTAATACACAGACACATGTGCACTCTCTTCTTCATTGGGAGAGCAGCTAAATGAACATCCCTCTCCCTTCCCTAGAACACAGGGTTGAATAGAGAGTTGGTCAGACACAGTAACAAGCGGAAACAAGTTGATTAAGTGCCTCACTTTGGGCTCTATTCTCCTGGCATGCAAATATGGTTCCTCCCAAGGAGTAAACATTTGGCTGGGATTCTAAGGGTGAGCAAACAACTGAGATGAAACCCCTGGGTTTCCCAGCTGTGCTGATTGCTTCGGGCTTTTTCGGCCACTGTGAGAAAATGAAGACATTGTCACAGAAATAGAGAGGTCCCACGTTGGAGTTTGAATCCAGACTTGGAGTGACAGATGCATACACTGGAGTAAACCGTGCAGAACTGTAAGGATAACATCAACACCACATGGGCAGAAAAGTGGGGATCAGATGCCTGCTGTGAACCCACAGGCCACAGTCAAAGCAGCTTGGCATCCCCTGCATTCTCTTTTTGTCAGCTGTAACAGTGGGTGACAGTGTCTTCCTCACAGGTGGCATTTAGTCCCTGGAGTGAGGGAAACTGAGATGGTGTATTCAAGTGCCTGTCACAGCCCTGGTAGGCAGCAGGTGAGCACCGCCAAGTGTCCTCTGCTCAGCTCATCTGTCCCCAGGTGGCCTCGTGGGTTAGGCGAGGTCAGTCCCAGGGCCTCCACAAGCAAACTCTCTGGACTCCTGTACTGCCTGTTCCCTGGGCATGTGACAAACTAAGAATTTCATAAAGTTTGAAGTATTCCCAGCTGGAGACACGTTGGGGAGCAATCTGAGCCAGCAGCATAATGGTCTGTTAACCAGGCATATCTTATATGCAGAGCCCAAGAAGAAGGGTCTGGGCTAGTATCACAAAATCCAGTTTATGTCACCAAATACTTTGAGTTCTTTGTTTGCCAGGCTGAGAGCCAGCAGCTGGGTAAACTGCAGGAAACAAGAAAAAGCTGACTGTTCAAGGGCTCTGAATCTATCAAGGAGATCCAATGAAAAGTTCCACACAGTGTGATGACATCCGGGTTTGGATGGTGCAGGATGGCTTGGTTAGGGAGGGTCTGAGAAGGCTTCTGAGAAGAAGTGAGTCTGGAAAGATGAAGAGTTGCCCAGGAAGAGGCAACAGGTATCTTTACTGCTCCTCTGGATGTGGCAGGAAGTGGTTCTGGAGAGAAGAACTCACTGTGCAAAGCTTCAGAGGATAAAGAAAGTCTGGCTAGTTCCAGAAACTGAATGAAGGTTTGTGTAGCTAGGACTCAGTTTAGAGGGCTGAGTATGAGGCTGAGAAAGGTAAGGCAGGGCTGTAGGCCTCACTTGCTATTTTACACTTTGGGGCTCTACACTAAGGGTTAGAGGAAGCCTTGACTTGGTTGTCAGGAAGTGACCCAGTCATTCATCCATAGTCTGCTAATGATTTTCTGCCCAAGCACTTTTTATCCTGGATAATTCCTGTTCACCCTTGAAGACAAATTTATGCTTTAACTCCAGATCACCTATCTAACCCCTTGGCTAACCCTCCAGATGTTTCTGCCTCTGTGCTGTATCACACAATGGCCAAGATACATTGCAATCTGGGTTCAGCTGTCTGTCTCTACACTGGGCCCTAAACTCCTGAGTGCAGGTATTCAATGAGCATTTGAAAGTAGCTGACGAGCTGCACTGACTTCCAGGCAATGCAACACAGAAAAGGACTGGGAAGCACACAGCCCGAGCCCGACGAGTGCAGTTACTCACACAGAAGATCATGACTGCTGGGGTTTCCCTCACAAATTAAGGGGGCTGCCTTGACTGCCTTGAGGGCCCCGGTTTGGTCTGAGAAGCTCTGGGCCAAACTGGCCAGGGCTGACCTCATAAAGGCCAAGGTGAAACACTTAAATACACATGGAAGGACTAGAAATGACTTTTCCCCCCAAATTTTCTTTCTTGAATAAATAATATATTTTACACTTAATATATATTTATTGCTCAAAATTAGAAAAAAAAGGTAGAAGATGAGAATAAGAGTAAACCAGTACAGTAAGTCCCTGACTTATGAACGAGTTTAGTTCCAGGAGAAAGTTCACAAGTTGAATTTGTTTGTAATCTAACAAAATGAGTCTTACACAGTACACCTGTAACTTTTATATAGTACACTTGTGCAAGTTTGCAACTTGAATGCTTGTAAGTCAGGTACTCACTGTATTAACATTTTAGGGTAGATCTTTTCAGACTGTTTTCCGTGCAAATATCCTTGTTTATGCTTTAAAAACATAACCTATTCTTTTGTCAAACTTCGTTACTTAATGATTTATTGTAATCCCTTCTGTCTATCTGTAAAGATTCTTTCCTATTATTCATTTTAATAGCTGCCTAGTATTTCATTCTATGGCTACACCATGCTTATTTCATATTTCCTTACTGATGGACATTTGAAGAGTTCTTGATTTTTCAATATAATAAATAAATGCCTTAGTGGACATTTGTGCAGCTATATCTTGATGTATAGTTTTACTTAGTTTCTTCAGGTAAATTTCAGTAAGTGGGATTGCTGGGTCTAGAGTCATGAATATTTTGAAGGCTTCTGATTACTGTCATCAAACCACCCCCTGGAAAGTACGAACCACTTCCGACTACCAGGTCAGCAGAAAGAGCACTTGCAGGCCACCCCTGCCACCATGTTATGATTTTCTTTGATAACAGATAATGCAGAGAGAAATGGCACTTTGTTCCTGGCTGAAATTGCATCTTGTTAATTATTGGTGCCATTGATGTTTTTCAATTTGTCTTTCATTAATTATGAAGCATTACTTTATAGCCTTTGCTCATTTTGCAAGCCTATTTCTCTTGAAGCATTTTCAAAGCTCTTTAGGCATTAAGTTGGTGGTCCTCAGTTTGTTACGTTTTATTCAATTGACTCTTATAGCCTTTGCCTTTATGAATTCTGCTTTCAGTGCTACTCTCGAAGGCATATCCCCAGCTGGTGTTAGACAGTCCTGTTTTCCTACTGCTGGAATTCACGTGGCTAATGAATGAGGTATGGAGTAGGCTTTAATATTTTTTTCAAGTGGTCAAACACAGTGTTTCAACACCATTTATTAAATAATCTATCCTCTCTTCAGTTTATGTGAAGTGACACTTTAATCATATACTAAATTGTCTCCTTGTCACATGTTCACAGGTGTGTGCACATACACACAAAAGAATCTCTTTCTAGACCTTTACTGTCTGTCACTGATTTGGATGTCCACTCCTATACTCACACCATACTGTGAGCATTATTTAGCCCACTACCCTTTAATATCTGGGAGGGTTATCCTTCCACTTTAATTTTTTCCCTGGGTTTATTTTATTTTATATTTTTTGCAAAACTTCCACATCAGAGGTTCTTAATTAGAGGCAAGCATCAGAATTACTGGTGAGGTATTCTTAAGAAATAGATGCCCGGTTTCCACCCCCAAACAAAGGAAATCAAAACCTCTACAGTCAGCCTTGGCATTAACTAGTGTACTTGGCAAAGTGCAGAGAGGAAAAGATGAACTTTGGAATAAGCTTTGAGGGTAGAGGCTGCATCTGCCTAATTCCTGCCAATCCCCAGTCTTACTGTCTGCCACACGGGTGACATTTAATGAATATGTGTCGGTTGAAAGGGTGTATTAACTGATGTTCATTTGTAACCAGCACCATTACTTTGAACTTGGACTGCCAAAGGCCACTTTTGCCAGGGAAGCTGAAGCAATGGTGCAGGCTGTTGAGGAATCAGAGTGCATGCCACCTCAGGAGGGGCCAATTTATATAGGAAGGGAATCGCTGTGTTCAGAATGTGAGGGGTGGGTATGAGGAAGACGGAGCAAAGGCATCCTGTGTCCCTCCAGAGATGAAGGTCTCAGAGACACTCAACAGACTGCTAGGAGAGAACAGATTTATCAAGAATGATAAGAAACGCCCTTTGAGGAATGAGTTGGTACCCCCACCACCAAAGAGGTGTGTAGACAGAGGCCGTGTGGCCATCCTGTGGGAGACAGTGTAGAGAGGTTTCCTGCACTGAGTGGGATTTGATGGCTGGTAACCAGTAAGATCTCTTTCAGCATGGAAATTCTAGATTCTCAGCAACATTTACTGAACAGAACATTTATTGTTCTGTGACTCAAAGAGATGAGAAGGCTCTGGAAGTTTTCTCATTGGTGAGAAAAATTGAGACTAAGTATGTCACCATATAGGGAAATCCCCATTGAGGTCACTATGACCTGGGGACTTGGGGCCATCACCTTGGTCACTTTCTAATACCTGCCACAGGCCTAAACACTCACCCTTGCCATGTGATGTTTCGATGATCCAGGTACAGTTCAAGTTGTTGGGGTAGAAGTCAGGGAACCCTGGAGACAAGATGGTCCCACTGGATCCTTGAATGAAGCCACCACAGAGAGCTGCAGGGGTGAAGAGGGCAGTGAAAGACCAGAGTGTTTCTGGGAGCTCATGATCCTTCTGAGACCCAACATCCCATCTCTACTCAAAATCCCAACCCTCATTCATGGGGTTGGCCAGTCAGTGGTCCTTCCCCCTCCTGGGTTTTCAAGGCAGGGAAGGAACTGTCTCCTACAGCGTCCGGTAAGGCGTGCCTCACCTTCACAGCTGGGCAGTGCCCGACTCCACTGGAAGTTGGGCTCACACTCCAGTGGCTCCCCGTCACTTAATGTGTAGCCTGAATCACAGCTGAATGTCACCAGAGCACCAACGTAGAAGTCATTCCCATGCCGCTGCCCGTTGACAGGGATCCCTGGGTCCAGACAGTGGTCTGACTGCAGTGTTATTGCTAGAAAAGAGAGGCCATTGCTAGAAAGGACAGCATGCACTGTTCCCACAGAGGGACTTCAGGAGGAGAGGCCCAGATTCACAAATCTGTTAAATGAGATTGCTGGAATTTGTGGGGAGAGTTTGAAGGCCTATCTCTTAGTAGATAAGGTGGCTTGATCATTTTCTCCTTGACTCACTCATTCAATAAACAAGAGTTGAGTGTCCACTAGGGCTTGGGCCCTGTGCTAAGAAGTAGGGATATAAACAGGAGTCAGAAAATGATCCTGTACTCATGGTGCTCTTAATTCTAACTTTCTATTTCAGTCTACAAATAATTGAAGAGACATTGATCCCTTAAATTGAGGGGATGAATGCAGAAGATGATGACAGAGTGAGTGTGAGCATGAGATGTTATTTTACTTCAAGTTCATGGTCAAATACTGTCCCCAGAGTACCCCTCATGGGGCCACTCAGCTACACACAGAGAAAGCTGTGAGAGGTATGGATATTTGATCTAGCATAAAGGTCATAAGCAACTCTTAGCTCCCAGGGTCCCCGAGAGATGCTGAGAACAAGGGAGCACTCTCCAGAGGGAACAACCTAACGGGATCCTTTCACCTTCCTGGGTCAGCCTTGTTACCCACCTCTCTGCACCTTCCCACAAAGACTCACTCTCGTAGCGGAGCTGGAAGCCAATATCCGAGTGACTCTTGTCAGTAGAGAAGAGGAGGTAGAGGTAGTTGCTGGTGCTGATGAGGAACTGGGGGACCTGGGTCCCGTGGTAAACCCCAATCAGTGGAGCTGAATATGTACGTCCATCTCGCACTTCCAAGGTATCATAGTTGACCTCAGTTTTGAATCTGCCAAGTGATGCAAACGAAGACTTCTTGAGAAACCCAAGGCTTATTAATTTGCAGATGACAAAAGCCCTGCCTGACCCAGGTCTTTGGACAACCAGATTTTGGCAGGCTGAGATGTTTTAATATAATTTGCGAACATTTTTAGTGATATGGAAGGACTTTCTCTACTGTTTAAGCCCTCTTCCTCCTTTCATGACCTGACACAGCCTCCCAATCATCTCCATGGCCTGAGCTGTGAACTATCTTAAGACTTAGAGGCACAGTGACTAGCCTCATGGGGGTCACAATGTTCTACGTGAGGGGTCAATAAACTAAAGCTGCAGGGCCAAATTTGATCTATGGTCTGAAGAGCTAAGACTGGTTTTTACTTTTATAAAGGGATTATAGGGAAAATAAAGATAATAGAGAACATGCAGCAGAGATCTGCAAGTGGTCCCCAGTATTTATTATCTGGCCCTCTACAGAAAAGTTTGAAGATTTATTCCAGGCCACAAATACTTTTTCTGGAAGAAGTTTGTGCTCATAGTTGTCTTCCTACTTCCCCAAGCCCCTTGAGGATAAGCTGAGTATGAGTCAAAGTGGGCAATAGAGCAGGATTTGGGATAGAGATCAGGGAAGCCACATATCATGTAAGAAATAAGGAGCAGGTTGCTTCTCAGATGCTAATGCTTTGTTCAACATCTGATGGTGCTTTATCTACCACTCTCCTCCCTTGATAGTCAGAAGAAGGAAGAGGTTTGGGTGCCAAGTGATATCTTAGCCATCTGTTCCCTGGACACAATCCCCTAACAGGACAAAACATGCCCAAGGACAAAGCCAGTGAGATCTGTCTCCACAAAGAGCAGTGGGCTCCATTGTTCCCCGATCTTGCTGACATTTCAGCATGGATACCAGTCCCTGGCCTACTCCAGGTTCCCTCCCACAGAGTATGCATCACCCCATCAGCCCCTTTCAAGCACCTGTCAAAGGTAATTTTGATGGGGTAGCCTGGCTGTGCTTCAATCACCCAGGCACAGCTCAGGGCGTCTTTGTAGAAGCCGGGCCAGCCTGGAGAGAGGATGGTACCACTGGGCGAAGTGAGATGACCACCGCAGGGAGCTAGGGAACAGAGGAGAGAAGCAGCTTTCTTGGAGACCAATGAATGAATAAAAACACAGAAAACCTTCCTATAAAATGTGTCAGCCAACAAGGATTGTTTTTGTTTTTACGGAAAATTACATAAATTGTGAGCTTTGATTATTGGGACTTTTATAAGTGTGTCTAGTTACATCATTTGGGATTTTATTAAAGGCCAGAAGGGAGAAATGAAAAGAATCCTTTAAAAAGTCCTTTTGTCATTCTAGAAGGGCTGGAGTACAGCTAATATTTGGGTCACACTGGCTTTTTCTTTGTGCCTCACTCAGTTGTCAGGCCTGAGCCAGAGGCATCAGCCCAGCCCGCTTCCTCTCAGCTACAACAGGAAATGAGTGTCCAGGACTCTGCTCTGCTAGGGGACTACATGTGCTCTGTCTTCTGCAATTACCCAGTCTTGAGCACAGCACTTGGCACACAGCCGTCCCTCTACGACTACTGACTGGATGAATAAATGAATGAGCAAAAGGACAGATGAATGCAGCCCATGTCAGGTAACTCCACAAGCCACTAGCAGGTCTCAGCATGCCTCCCGGCCGTCTCTGGTCTTCCGAAGCCTGTTTTCTTACCCCTCAGTCTCCTTCTGCCCACTCCTCCTGTCATTCAGCTTCCCTATTTGCACTTGCATCTTCCTACCCTCCTGCCTCATCCTGCATCCAGACTCTGGCCCTGGTAAAAGTCGTCAGAGCTCCTCCAGTGCTCCTTCTTCAGGACATATTCTGGCCTTCGTTTTTCACCCTTTTTGAAATTATACAAAGCCAAGGGATTACTTAGCTCAGCGAGAGAAGAAGGGATACATATCATGACAATGTGGGAAGGGTAAGAGCCTGTGCAAAATTTGCGAAGTTTCTTCCTTCTGACTCAGCGACTGTGGAAATAGATGTCAAGATAGAAGTCTAATCTGCCTAGGTCTTGAAGTGACTCTGTGGAGCAGATTCCCCAATGAACCCATAGCTTGATGGTCTCTAATACTGTTTTTAAGCAACTGAGATTTAGGATTTGTCTATTAATAAGCTTAACCCAGCTCACACTGACAGCTTCCCAAAACTAATGATGAAAATGATGATGCCACCCATCACGAAGGCTGTCTCATTGTCAGCACCACTGCCATTGACTTAGTGCTGCCTCCACACCAGGCATTATGTTCACTCTTCTCAAAGCAAACACTCCCATGAGGTCGGTGCTATTATTATTTCCTAAGAAAGCTGGTACTTATGGAGGTTAAGTAACCTGGGGTTTGCAAGTCATAGAGTCAGGATTCAGACTCAGGTGAGACAGTTCAGAACCAAGGATCATAAATTAAGCAGCTTCCAATCTGAAAAGAACCTCTGCTTCTTTTGGGCTGTCTTATTAAAGAGCTAACAGAGGCCAAAACTCCTGAACAGTACTGAGATGGGGATAAGGAGCTACACAGCACGTATCTCTTTGCAAAGTTTTATAGATTTCTATAGGTAATCAGTTTCGTAAGATACAGTCGAATGAACCTCATCCTTCCCTCACTTTTATAACCTTCTGGAATTATCTAAAATAGCTGTCAAGCACTCAATATAAAGTTATAATAGGAAATTTAACACAAAGAAGATAATATAATAATCACAGTAGGTGTAGTCAATTCACACTGATGACTTACTCTTCTAGTTGCTTTATGTGTATATCTCATCTAAATGTACACATTAAGGAAGTCAGCTCCATTTTATAGAGGAGAAAATCAAGAACAAGTAGATTAAGACACTAGATTAAGGACATCAAAGCTAATGAAGTTAGAGCTGAGATTAACCTCAAGACCTCTGAATCTAAATCCTCCCATGTGCACAACAAACTACACTCACGGTAGACAGTAATGAGCTCAAGTGTATTGAGAGCTTAATACATGTCAGGACCAAATGTGGATTATCCTTGTGACAATTGCCTGTTAGCACACATATTATCATCTTCATTTTTTAGAAGGGGATTACTACCCCCATCTTTTTATGAATTGAAGACTTAACAAAACTAAGTAATTACATAGCACCTATGTTAAACATTGGGAGAATAAATTACATAAGCTTACTGTCACTTCTGGAAAAGTCGAGTTTTCAAAACCTATCTACCATCTCCTTGCACCTTCTAATATGCCCCTCTCCTTCTTTAATGGACATGTTAGACCTTGGAGGTGAGGAGGGGCTTGCCTGACCCTGTATCCTCATGTTTTCATGCAGGTACCATGACTTGGGAGTGAGTAGGGACTCTTTCTTGGTTCCAGTTCAGCACAGGCTCTGGCTGCTGGATATTCTCATTTAATTTCCAGGAAGCTATAGACTACACAGTCACTATTGCCTGCTGCATTACTCTCCATTCAGTCCATACATATCAATAAAACCCTATCTGAAATCTTCAGAGAGGGAAATTTGTATCCTTCTTCTTGTTACAGATGTCTCCCAAAGACCTCATGCACTCATAGGCAAGGCTTTTGAAAGGTTAAGAGCTGAACTGCTGTTAGGAGATAGGGTCTGATTGGAGAAGGCAGATCAGTGGCAGGGGGATGACAGATCCCTGGCTCCTCCTGTCAAGATGTGAGCAACCCAGGCCCTTCCACTTTGCCAAATTTTGCATTTTTTTTAATACTGGAGCTCAAACTCAGGACCTTGCGCTTACGAGGCAGGCACGGTGCCACTAAGCTAAATCCCCGGCTGCCAGTTTTTGCATTTGAGCCTGCTGAATATGGACAGAAACTTCTGAAACTATAAGCCAAAAGAAACCTCTTATCTTTCAAGTTGTAAGTGTCAGTTATTCTGTCCCACTGATGAGCAAAGTGACTAAGACAGATTTTGGTACTGAGAATGGGATTGCTGTTCTGAATATACCTGACCATGCAGTTTAGAAGCCTTTGGAAGTGGTTTGTGAGAGGAGTTGAGAAATGTTTGGAGATGCTGACTGTAGAAACTCTAGAATTCTGTAAACAGAGCTTGATGGGACATTCTGTTCAGAGCTCAGAAAACCAGGATGCTGATAAAAATACTGGCAAAGAGCAAGCTCAGGAGGAGGTTTCAGTTGAAAAGAAAGGACTCCATTAACTTTTGGACTCGAGATCATGTGTGTTATTCTCTCACATAAAGGACTTTGGAGCAGACTGAAATTTAAGGATGGTGGATTAATTAATCAGGAGGAAATTTTAAGGCAGGCCAATGTTGAGGCTGTGGGATAGGTACTGTTGCTGACTTTTAGCCGTATCTACCATGAGAAGTGGAACCAAAAAGCAGAGCTGAATAATTTGAAAATTTTTTGCTGGTGGCCAGAAGGGAAGCTCTTATAAAGTTGGGGCCTGGAAAATTGGGCCTATATAGTTTTGGATGAGGAGAGCTTGGTTGATGAAAAAATTAGTATTAGAAAGAAGCCAAGTAATTTGCATCAGAGTAGTAAGAAAGATTCCTTGAGGGTATCTCAGGAATCTGCAAGATTCCACCCACCACAGGCTCAAGGGTGCAGGGCTATAAACCTTTCATTTGAGAAGAGAATTCCTGGGCACCTTGCTCCAGAAAGGCCACCCAGGGCATTGATTCCCAGGATTCTGTTCACAGTACTCAGTCATCCAGGCATACAGAGGGCCTTTGCAGCCATGGTACAAGGAAGGGAGTCTGGCTACTGCTTGAACTGGCAGCAGACCTTGGGATCATCTGTATGGTGCTAGTTTTATGACATGCAGAAGGCAAGAGTTTTGAGGTCAGGGAACTTCCATTCAGATTTCAGAAGAAGGCCTGGAAGGCCAGGCAGTGTGTCCCTAAGAGGATGGTTCTTACAGCTATGAGAGTGAAGTTAAAAGTGCAGTGGAGACCCCAGGAAGTTGGAGATGCCAGAAACATGGCAAAATTCACATGCATTTACTCTCTAACATAACAATTATATTTCTAGAACTCTATCCCAAGGATGTACTGGTAAAATGTGAAGAAAAGTCCATATATTTGTACAAGGCTATGAAGACAGCACTATTTTTAACAGCAAAAAGCAAAAGAATGGGAAAAGTCATTCAACAATAAGGATCTGACTGAATAAACTAGGGTAAACAAAAAAATGAACTGTTTATGTAGCTATAAAACAAATCAAAGAACATGCTAAATAATGCCATGGAGCAATCCCAGAATACATTAAGTGAATAAAAGTAAGGTACAGAAGAGTAGGCAAAGTATGATTCCCTTTATCTAACAAAGAAGTAATATTAAAAGTTAAATTAATAGTAATGTGTAATATTCACTCAGATTAACAATCAAAGAAAAGGTAAAGCAAAAACTAACAGTATTACTCATGCAAAGAGGGAGAAAACAGGGTAGAAAGGGTAGGGGTGGAAGCTACACTTTCCCAGAATATACTTTGTTTTATAGATTTAACTTTGGAGTTATGTAAATATTTTACATAATTAAAAAGAAAAATTAAATTCAATATGATTTCTAAAACTCAAAATGAATACAATATTGTGTCAGTTGGTAATATAATCACATATGCAGAAACTAGCTACAAAGATTTTCAAACACAGTAATTTGATAACCTATCCCTAGTAGGATACAAGAACAAAAATAACTGAAAATGATGATGATAATGATGATGAATGGTATTATTTTCATAATCATATTGTTGTCAGTAGTACTGATAATTCTACTCTGAGTTTCTTTGGTATATATTATGATATAGGAAATTATAATGATGCTGTTGGGAGCTTGGATATTCAGCAAGAGTGAAAGGAGATATGTATCAAGAAAGTTAAAATAAAAAATATTCTTGCTTTTGAAATGAACCCAAGGTGTTTTTTTTGGGGGGAGGGTACCGGGGATTGAACTCGGGTCCTTGCGCTGGCGCAGCAGGTGGTGAAGCTACTGAGCTAGATCCCTGGCCCCCAAGGTGTATTTTTTAAGAAGCATTTCCTAGTTGTGTTCATTAAAAAGGCTTAGAAACAAAGACTAACTCCATAGTGATAAGCACCCTCAGCGTCCAGATTCTAAACATCAATTTCCACTAAAAGGAGTTAGGGCTTCTTGGAGAAACCACTGATGCTAGTTCAGGGGCCTAAAATGTACAAGATGAGATTGAGTCATCTTCAAAAGGCTCCTGTTAGCTAATGGGACAATCTGAACATCAGTTAGAATAATAATTACAATGGCTTTAAATACATGTAAAGGAAAATAATTTTTTCTCATGTCTTTCCCTTATAGACTACACCTTAGAGTACACAGATAGTTGAGAAGGACAACTTTTCTTTAAGTATTCCAGCTTATAAAAGTAGAAACGATAAAATGCTACCATTTTGCAATCTCTAAGGTATGATCAGTGGCTCCTAATGTCCCCAAAAGAGATGCAATCAGTCATTGTATGTCTCCGGTGAAAACACACAGCCCTGCTTATAAAATGTTCCAGCCAAAAACTGCAACTTGAAACTGATTAAGTTTCTAGATCTTACTGCCATTTACAGAAAATAAAAGAGAGGGGGGATCATGTGAAACAACCTCTCAGAGAAGCAATC